ATAAATAAATAAATAGATAAATAGATAAAGTACCATAAGACGCTGTTGCTTTTACAAGAAACTAACATTTTACCCTTGTAAAGAAAAACATGAAAAAGAGATGTATATATGATAATATTTATTTATTTATTTATTACTCCACCCACCTTGTGGCTATGCCACTACTCTGGGTGGTTTACAAATGAAACAATGGACATAACAGGAAATTAAATAAAAGGCATCAATTAAAATATCAAACAGAGGAAATGTCATCCCTAAAACTAAGGATATATAAAATCCAACTAACACAGAAGATGGTAGCAAAACAGAGTCAATCAACCCAGAAGTAGCAGGTTGGCAGTGGTGGCGCTGGGGGTTAAACCGCAGAAGCCTCTGTGCTGCAAGGTCGGAAGACCAGCAGTTGTAAGGTCAAATCCATGTGACGGAGTGAGCTCCAGTTGCTTGTCCCAGCTCCTGCCAACCTAGCAATTCAAAAGCACGTAAAAATGCAAGTAGATAAATAGGTAGCACCACGGTGGGAAGGTAAAGGTGTTCCATGTCTAGCCATGCTGGCCACGTGACCACAGAAACTATGGACAAATGCTGGCGCTACAGCTTGGAAACAGGAATGAGCACCACCTCCTAGAGTCAGACACGACTGGCCTAAATGTCAAGGGCAACCTTTACCTTTACTTTAGCAGGTTGTCAGCAATTAAAGAACAATAGATCTGCCTCACACCAAGGCAGTCCAGTGCTATGGAGCTAACAGAGCTTTCAGGATAAAATGGACTGAGATCATCTTTCCCTAAACTGAAACATTCAAAGCATGCTGAGCTGCAACGCCCATCATAAACCAATACTGGGGATATTGGACAGGCACCGAAACGATAGTAAATGGAAGTGGCAATTTAAACTGTGCTGAAGGAGGAAGGAGCAAGGTGGCCAGGGCTTCTGTACCTTTAATAAAAATTGTGTAGAAGGAAAAAAAATTGAAATATTTGTCTGACATTCAAATTAACTCTTTGACAAAATTATTAAAGATGCAAGAGCCCTGTCCTGTTTTAAACAAAAGCAGTGATGGTCATATTAGCACAAAATGAATGCCAAACTCCATTTTGAGATAATGCCTTAATCGGCCAACCCACAGCCTGACTACACTGGCACACAGAACGGTCTATGGATTGCTGCTGGCACCATTTGGATCAAGCCCAATGACAGTGTCCACATGTGCTTCCCTTGAGATTGATCCATTTTCCCCTTTTAAGAGCCATCCCAAACTTTTCTGAACCCCTATCAGGAGGTTCTATTATTCTGGTGTGGGTTGGAAGGACTGAGTGAAGTCCATTGCCAGGGAATGTGGTCACTTGGAATGGACTAAAAATCTCTTCTGAAGTGGTTTGTTTCCAGTACAAACCACTTCAGGATATCAAAAATTGAATTGTCTGCAGACAATGAGGGGAAGTGATTTTTTAAAACATTTGTAAGATCTGTACTGAAGTGTTGCATCATTTCTGTTAAATTAAAAATATTTTCTTTGCCTGTTTGTGTATTGCCCATCAAGAAACTGCCCACAATTTTTACTTCCCCCTCTGTCTTTTCCCTCACTCTTTGCAACTTGCTATGGTATATTCATAATCTACGGGGCGAAGGTCAGAAAATAAAAGCTGAACCTTCCCCTTTTCCCTACAGGCATGCACCCACACATACAAGCATCTACCTTGTAGGCAGCACTTCAATTGCTGCAGGCAGTTTCTCAATCAGCACCAGGCAAAGAAAAAGATTTATTTAACAAAAGGCAGTTTCTCAATCAGCACCAGGCAAAGATAAACAAAAGTGATGCATTGCTTCAGCAATGATCTAGGAGACCCTAAGAAAAATAATCTCACTTCTCCTGACACTCTGCAGATGATCAGGGGCAGTGTTGACAGCAGGAGTCAAAGTGCCATTTGGGCAGAAGGAGTGCACTAAATGGCACATTGCTCCTCCCCCTGAACTCAAACTGTGCTTTTAAAGCCTAAAACAGCCAGTCTGGAGTGTGCACCAGCACACAAAATTCACAAACTTTGGGGAACACTGCCCCTTCATCAGCGGACATGTTAAAAGTAAGCAACAAGCAGGCGGAAGGGAATTGGAAGGAGGCAAGAGACTGGTCTTCACTCCTTCCCAGCTTCATGTTGTTGCAGTATGCAGAGGAGCATAGGCAGAGCAGGTTTCACCAGGTAATGCCCCAGGGTTAGCTTTCTCCTGGATAAAACCACAGACTCACCGAGCACTAGAAACTTAGTTAGGTTAAGTACTTCATTTTAACCATTCTCTCTCCTCCAGTCAGTGTCACACACAACTGAACACATTCCCCGCCTTGTTTGATTGGCCTGTAAAGATAATCAGGTCAGTGGGCGACTGAGGAGCGGGGATGGGTGGGAGCTGTGGCCATTCCCAGCGGCAATCAAATTTATGCAACAAAGATTCTAGGAATAAAGAGTAACAACCCAAACTTTAACATCTTTGATAAGACTGATTTAGCAAGTGGTCTGACCTAGCGACTGAGGAGCGGGGATGGGTGGGAGCTGTGCCCATTCCCAGCGGCAATCACATTTATGCAACAAAGATTCTAAAGTTGATAACAACCCAAACTTTAACATCTTTGACGAGATTGATTTAGCAAGTGGTCTGACCTAGAAATTACGCGACTGCCCTTTTTCATCATCAGTGGAGCTCTATCCTGAGTTAAAACATTACCCGCCTGAGGAGCGGGGATGGGTGGGAGCTGTGCCCATTCCCAGCGGCAATCACATTTATGCAACAAAGATTCTAAAGTTGATAACAACCCAAACTTTAACATCTTTGACGAGATTGATTTAGCAAGTGGTCTGACCTAGAAATTACGCGACTGCCCTTTTTCATCATCAGTGGAGCTCTATCCTGAGTTAAAACATTACCCGCTCTCCAACCCCTACCGGTTCGCGTGGGGCTGCTGTCAAAGAGTCACAAGCGGAAAGCCTAAATAACAACAATGAAAATAATATTTTTATTTATTTTATTAGATTTATACCCCGCCCATCTAGACAGATAGTCTATTCTGGGCGGCAACTCCATATAACTCTATAACTGGTATTGTTGTTGTTTATTTCAAGAATCCCAGCGAACGCTTTTCTCAACCAGGCTGGGCTGCGGGGAACGCGCCGGCCACCTCGCTCCTTCCCGCCTCCTTCCTCCCCCGTCGGAACCGAGCTGACGGGATCGGCCCCGCTGGACCGGCGAGGAGATGATTGGGGGGGGGGCGATGCCTTTCCTTTTCCTGTTCTTATCTTGGATTTCTGTTCTCAAGTAGAAGCAAAATTTAGCAAATGGAGCTGTTCTTAAGTTGGATTGTTCTTAAGTAGGGACGTTCTTAAGTAGAGACCCCACTGTAACTATGCGACTGCCCTTTTCCAACATCAGTGGAGCTCCATCCTGAGTTAGAACATTACCCGCTCTCCCACCCCTACCGGTTCCCGTGGGGCTGCTGTCAAAGAGTCACAAGTGGAAAGCCTAAATAACAACAATGAAAATATTTTTATTTATTTTATTTATTTCATTAGATTTATAGCCCGCCCATCTAGACAGATAGTCTACTCTGGGGGGCAACTCCATATAACTCTATAACTGGTATTGTTGTTGTTTATTTCAAGAATCCCAGCGAACGCTTTTCTCAACCAGGCTGGGCTGCGGGGAACGCGCCGGCCTCCTCGCTCCTTCCCGCCTCCTTCCTCCCCCGTCGGAACCGAGCTGACGGGATCGGCCCCGCTGGACCGGCGAGGAGATGATTGGGGGGGGGGCGATGCCTTTCCGGGTGTGCGTGGCGTCGCCCGCGGGAGGGCCGCCCGTAGCAGAGCGCGGGGACGTCCTCGTCGGTCTGCCTCTCCCTTCAGCGGGCGGGG